GGTTTGGAAATTCCCGCCAAAAATGGAAAAGTTTTTTTTTTGGGGGGGGGTTTTTCCCCGCCCCTTTTTTTTTTTTGGTTTTCCCCCCCCCCCCCCCCCCCCCCGCCCTTCTCTCTCTCTTTATTCCTTGCTTTCCGTGTTGTTGTAGTTTTGCTGTACACGACATGTTGAATTAAAAGCTTATTCCATGTGTTGTATCTTGTTTGCATTTGTTGTATGTTACTTGACTTGACGGGTGCTTGTTCACGCATGATAGCGGCGTGCATGTAATAAACATTTCCACGGACGTGGCGCACGAGAACAGCGGTGTGGTACAATCGGGGGTTTCTTGCTTGATGCCGTGTTGGGAGTAGCAGCAGAGCGGAACACGGATTGCCTAGATTGAGGCGACGGCGGGTTCGAGGGTTCCTGAACGCGTCTGCAGCGGCGGCGGTGGCGGCGCCCACCATCATCATCACCCGTTCAGCAATCATCAACAGCAGAACAAGCACGAAACGAAACGAAAGCCAAAGTCAAACATCTATGTAGGCATCCAATCGAGCGATTATTTGCAGAGGTAGCCATCGTAGCGAACGGATAACCGGCATAGGACGCATGCACAGGGACACAAGTCCATCCACAATGCACTCCCTCGCCTCAACCGCGGCGTGCCGTCAATCAATGGACCTGCCTTGTATGTGTAAGGGACACCACGGAGAGCTACGAGGAAGAGGTCTCGGAAGGAGGCACTGCCGACGGCGACGACGCTGCCGACGATGCCGAGCGAGCCTACTCCGAAAAGAGGCAGGAGGAGGAGGAGGAGGAGAAAGCGGGGGGTCGGCAGACGGGGGAAGAGGACGAGGGCAAGGGAGGGGACTCGAAAACCGACAGCCGCGTGTCCCCTGGATCCAAGGCTAAGACCGAGGACATTTATGCTCGGACTGTAGCCCGGTGGGTGTACTCGTAGCCGTGCGTGCCGTAGTCGTCATACAGGCTAATTTTGACCTCGCATCCCTACAAAGCCGGGACGTTGCACGCCGGTTTCTCACCGGACCAGGCTCTTTCCTACCAGGGGTACGGTTCGAAGAAGCCGTTGTTAGTGTGCCCGCGTTCTCCAATGGGGTCATGTGTGAATGCTGGTGTCCCTGAGATTGTTCATTCAACAGTGGAGGACTGCGCAATTCTCGACCCCGGTGGGAAGGTACAAGTTTGTGGTTTGTGGGTGATCATATAAGAATGGAAACATAATCGTCTCTGTCGTCGGAGAATAGAGTGCAAGATACCCTGGCGGTTTTTTCATCATAGTGTTTGTGTTCGCGTTTCACGAGTGGGGTTCTCGGCAGAGGTTGCTGGGACGCTGCTCTTGCATCGCGTTGGGTAGACAGCGAGGAGATAGGATTTACCGTTCCATGTGGCATGTGTGCTGTGTACCCTTGGCGTGTGTGTTTTTTTTTGTCATCTTTTCTTGTGTGTGTGTTGTGCGCATGGTGTGTGATCTCTTCGTTGCGTGTGTGTTGTATGTGTGACTCTGTTGTGTTTTGTCGCGTTTGTCGCAGGAGGAAGGCCTTGGCGCTTACGTTTCGCATCCTGCAACGCGCGCTGATAAGGACCGCGCTGCTGCTCTTGGCGTTTCAGGTGAAAACCCGCCGCGACAACCCATCTCCATTTAGTTGTTACGCTGCGTTATGTTGCTCCCGGGGAGGTTTCTAGTGCACGTGTTTACTTTTTTTGAACGTCGCATCTGCAGATACTTTCGTCGCTCTCTCGCTCGGTTTTTATGCCTACAGTACTCGGTCTGGCTCGGTTGGGCCCGTTCCATGTTTCTTTTTTTTTTTCTGAAGAAATGAAATGTGATCAAAGAGAGAGTGCCCCTTGCTCTAATCTGTTCACATGTATCTGTCTTCCTACGACCATGCATGCTCGGTTTTTCTGCGACAGCAGTACATGCCGAAGCAGGGAGAATGCATTTTGTGCATATCGGGAGCCTAGCTATTGTTGCATTGGGTGAAAGAGACCGGGCACTCTATAGTGCCGCTTCATCTGACTGCCTTTACAGACGAAACTGCTGTCGGCTCGGCTTGACTGATGTTTTGTCATTGATTCAAACGGGAAGTGGGTTGTTTGTTCACGAAAAGTTGTAAGTTGCTCTCGCCTTTCATTTTGTTGTAGGCCAGTACCTGGAACACTGTAGATTTTAATTCATTCCCATACAAGCATCACGCCCAGAGGGGTATCTCTACACGATTGCTCCGTTTTCTCCTCGCGGCCAATCGACCCGAAAGGGACAACGTACCCTGAAGAACTGGTAACTCACTGCAAGCCTGAAGGCCGACGGAACCCCCCCCCCCCC